TACAGGGCCTCACCTGGGTTAATATTATTGATGATATTATGGCCAGAATGGGATAGCAACAACAAAAATGAAAACAATAGTTCAAATGTAAATAGTTTAAATAAGTTATGTTTGCATAACAAAACCTGATAAACTCAAAACAAGTTATTACCAATATTTTTAATAAAGATAGATATTATAAGCTGAAACTCACATGATTTATCACTCATATCCTGAAAGTTTTGTCAACATCAGTTGGTTAATAGCAGTCTCTTTTATGTCCATGCAAGCATGTGAGGTTTATGTTTGGGTAGGCCACACACCCACTGGTCAAATGTAATTGACAAAGTACAGAATAAAATGTAACATTGTAAATAATATATTATGTCTTGTGTATCTATTAGTAATGTATGATGATAACATTACAGATAGGTCAAACTGGGGGGGAAAAGGTAAGGGAAATAGAGGAGGAGGTAGGAACCCAGCCATTTCACAGTTCTTTCCTCCTGGGCTAATGGTAATGTTCACTGTAGTTGGAGGAATAAGGAATGTCAGTGGGGATTAGGAACCCAGCCATTTCACAGTTCTTTCCTCCTGGGCTAATGGTAATGTTCACTGTAGTTGGAGGAATAAGGAATGTCAGTGGGGATTAGGAACCCAGCCATTTCACAGTTCTTTCCTCCTGGGCTAATGGTAATGTTCACTGTAGTTGGAGGAATAAGGAATGTCAGTGGGGATTAGGAACCCAGCCATTTCACAGTTCTTTCCTCCTGGGCTAATGGTAATGTTCACTGTAGTTGGAGGAATAAGGAATGTCAGTGGGGATTAGGAACCCAGCCATTTCACAGTTCTTTCCTCCTGGGCTAATGGTAATGTTCACTGTAGTTGGAGGAATAAGAATGTCAGTGGGGATTAGGAACCCAGCCATTTCACAGTTCTTTCCTCCTGGGCTAATGGTAATGTTCACTGTAGTTGGAGGAATAAGGAATGTCAGTGGGGATTAGGAACCCAGCCATTTCACAGTTCTTTCCTCCTGGGCTAATGGTAATGTTCACTGTAGTTGGAGGAATAAGGAATGTCAGTGGGGATTAGGAACCCAGCCATTTCACAGTTCTTTCCTCCTGGGCTAATGGTAATGTTCACTGTAGTTGGAGGAATAAGGAATGTCAGTGGGGATTAGGAACCCAGCCATTTCACAGTTCTTTCCTCCTGGGCTAATGGTAATGTTCACTGTAGTTGGAGGAATAAGGAATGTCAGTGGGGATTAGGAACCCAGCCATTTCACAGTTCTTTCCTCCTGGGCTAATGGTAATGTTCACTGTAGTTGGAGGAATAAGGAATGTCAGTGGGGGGGCCATTTCACAGTTCTTTCCTCCTGGGCTAATGGTAATATTCCTGTAGTTGGAGGAATAAGGAATGTCAGTGGGGATTAGGAACCCAGCCATTTCACAGTTCTTTCCTCCTGGGCTAATGGTAATGTTCACTGTAGTTGGAGGGAATAAGGAATGTCAGTGGGCTAATGGGTTCACTGTATGAGGAGGAATAAGGGAGAACCCAGCCATTTCACAGTTCTTTCCTCCTGGGCTAATGGTAATGTTCACTGTAGTTGGAGGAATAAAGGAATGTCAGTGGGGATTAGGAACCCAGCCATTTCACAGTTCTTTCCTCCTGGGCTAATGGTAATGTTCACTGTAGTTGGAGGAATAAGGAATGTCAGTGGGGATTAGGAACCCAGCCATTTCACAGTTCTTTCCTCCTGGGCTAATGGTAATGTTCACTGTAGTTGGAGGAATAAGGAATGTCAGTGGGGATTAGGAACCCAGCCATGTCACAGTTCTTTTTTTATGGGCTAATAGTAATGGTCACCAGGTGGTGGGTATTCAGGAAAGTGGAATAAAAATCCAGGCATTTCACAGTCCTTTTCTTATAAGCTAATGGTAATGTCCATGATGAGGAAATAAGGAAAGTGTGTGGTGGGAGAATAGGAACTCAGCCATTTCAAATTTTTTCGTATGGGCTAATGGTAATGGTCACCGGAGGGATTAAGGAAAGTGTGTGGGTGCATAGGAATCCAGCCATTTCCCAATTCTTTTCTCATAGGTTAATGGTAATGTTCACTGTGTGGGGTGGGGGTGGGTAAGGAGTGTGTGGGGGAAAATAGGAGCTCAGCCATTTCATAGTTCTTTTCTTATGGGCAAATGGTCATGGCTGTTTCTGTACAGGTAACATCCAGCATCCATTGACTGAACTATGAGTGTTACCGTTAGCTGAAATTTATTAAAAAAAAGATTATAAAATCTTTATCTTAAAACAGATTTTTTTAAAGAAAATGGACTTCTCAAATCCACTATTATTGTTCTTCTAGTACTGAAGGGAGTTGCCTTCCTAACCTTTTGTTTAAGATAATATGGATTGTCAACATTTTGATTATATCACTTATAAAGATTTTTGTGACATTTACATTTAATACAAAATATTGAGAAGAATAGAAAAATGATTATTAAAAAATGAACTGAAATTTTTTTCAGCAACAACTCCTATAGACTGAGTAGTATTTTATTTATCTACTTATGCATTAATACATTGATGAGTCTGTAGCATAATAATAAAAAACCCTTTCTTTTACACAACAAATGTTTATTTTTCAACATAATCTTCTTTGTCAATGCACTTAATTCAGTGATGAATTTCATAGATTAAACATTATACAGTTAAAATTTCAGATCAAAAATCAATATGTTAGGCTATGGACTTACTGATACACCCTTCTGTAGAAGACTATTGGCCTTTTTTGCCCCATTTCAAACGTTGGAGTTACTATTTGTTGTGGTATGTTAACAAAAATGACCATTTGCAGATGTGTGTTTATTAACATGACCACACAATTTATATTTAATGTAAAATACCACAAAATAAGAAACACAAGACGGAACAAACGGTTTTATAACATCAACATTTATATTCATTTTTGCATAATGATGTACATACGTAGAGATTAATATTTTTGTTATCTCCCTTTGACTGAATTAATATTTTTATCTGAGCTCACAAAAATTGAATGAATTATAAAGCTGAGAAATGCTGAATAAACTGTAAATTTCGAAAAGTATTTCAAAGAAAAAAGTTCTTGTTGCTTGTTTGGAAATGTTTATATGTTTGTAATGTAGTTTGGAAAATTTTGTACATACACACATGTGTGAATATGCTTTTAACGTCTCACCGCATGACAGGATCCTTTTCACAACTACATCTTGTAGCGAGAAAAATCAAGGAAGAAGAGAGGGAGAGAGAGAGCAAGCTTGTGTCTGCTATTCATAATTAATGTAATCACATGACAGGCTCACGGAAAATGGCGGGAAAACTTGACTTGGCCACACACTGAAAAAATATTTGTATGTGGGTGGATTGCAATGCCCACCTGTGTGTTTATTGACCAATTAGAAGCTGATATTTCCTGAAAATCTGTATGAAGCTGAATAAAATTCAACATTGATAAGAAAGTGGTAGTGGGATGCTAAACTTCTATAGTCCAATCATGATAAAACTATGGAAGTCTGAGGGGATGAAAGTATGCAGACGTAGTAGTAGACAAAAAATGCATAAATATTTAATGAAAAATGCTATGCTACATTTTAAAGTATGCTACATGAAGAGTATAATATTTTTAATAACTCCACATACTGAAACTTTGACGATTAATAATTTGATATATGTTTTAAATGCTGTGTCAATTTTATCTTTTTTCATAAATCACAAATTAAATTTTAAGTTGGTATCCACTTAGTAAGGATATCATAATAATTTTTAATAAAAAGATGTTTGAATTTTGTCTGAAATTGATTAATTAATTATAGAATATGTCCATAAAATTTTGAATTGAATCTGTTTTTTCACCAAATCTTAATTTATATAATTTTTTTTTTTTTCTTCACAAATACAAAAAAGAATTTCTACACATAAAGTGAACACTACAATATAGCAAAAAGAAAAGTTATTTGGAATTATGAGAGACTATTTTAAAAGCTCTCGTCTTTCTTTATATAGCCAGTCTGACTGATAGCTTTTAGTTTTTTTTTTTACTGTTAAGCATCTATCTTTAGCATAGCCTCCTAGCAGGTAGGGTGGGAGAAAGAGGTAATTTTATAACTATGTATGTAAATTGTAAATGTACTAAATTGCACTGCTGGCCAAAACAGAATTCTTTTGTCCCAGTGAGTAAAATCTAGAGCTTTAATTGAATTTTCTATCTATAGTAACAGTCTCTGCAAGTAACTGTTTTGTGGGGGGGAAAAAATCTTCTTAAGCGTTTTAGAGAGGCTCCATATTTTTTTTCTAGTTTCTCTATGGGATGCAGTAGGTTAAATAAAAAATGGTGAATCTTTTTTGCAATAGGGCTGCTGGCTGCGGCAGAGTTCCAATTGTTGCTGCTCTACTCTTTTCTCTCTCCCAAACCCCGCGTTAGCAGTCAAAATTAAAATAATACCCCATCACTCTCTCTTAAATCGGGGAAGTAAAGAATATTTAAGTTAGTCTTTTTTTTTTATTATGATCATTCCTGTTTAAAATTTTGTATGAGCAGTTAAATATTTGAAATAAATACGAGATTGATGAAGTTCGGAGAAATAAGTTAAAACATGAAAAAGAAAATGAAATAAAATGTAAGGTGTAGAAAAAACATAGTCTTCTTACTCTTCTTCTCTTAGAAAATTTAAAAAAATTATATAGTCTCTCTCTCCATATCCTATGACTAGGTGAAACAATTTTTCCTTATGATAAAAGAAAGAAAAATGATGAGTATTTTTGTTGTAATGAAACTTGTGAAATAATTATTGTAAGAATGAGAGCATTAGTAGAGGTTTATTTTTTTTTTTAATAATGCTGCTATTATTGGTAAGCATTGCAATGTGACCGCCTGACAAAATCTCTTCTTTACTAGAGAAGGAGGGGAACAAAAGCCCGGATGTTGGCTTCGTTTCGTTTTCAATTCCAAGCTGCTTTTTTTTTTTTGTTCCATCTCTATCATGGCGAATACCAGTGCACGTGTTTCTTGTGCTCGGGATTTTAATTGTTGTCCCGACATTAACACTGCCCTGGACAACACTTGCAAGTCTGGGTGAGATACATATTCTTTCGAGAAATCAAGTGAAATTATTCACTCGGACTTAAAAAAAAAACTCCCGTCTTTAAAATTCATTTTCGTATATTTCACTTAGTTTGTCTTCTTTCGATCTCCATGTTTATGAGATGTTGGCTTTTTTCAGACATTCTGAGACAATTTTTTTTCCATCTGTTGCTCTCATCTTTCGATATCTATTTTAAAACTAGTTATTCTAAATTTGCCTCATTTGAACGGTTTTTTTTTTTGTCCTTTGCGAGGAAGAGAAATGTATTTAAAAAATATTTCTAGCTTTGATGATACAGTGTTCTTTCATCATTCAGCAATTATCTAATTATTCCTTCCTTTTTATAATTTTTTTATCCCTAACATTCTCCTTTAATTTAATTATCATATTACTATGAATTACACTGTTTATTTCATATCAGTATTGATTTATTTCAATCAAAATTTATAATAACAGTAGTTGACACAATTCTTTAACAGTTCAAATTACTGGCGCCAAGGTTGCATTATTAAGGGGAAGCCTTTCGTTGTTTTTTTAGTTTTTTTTTTAAACGTCTCATGTTATATACTCTGTTTACGAATCTAGAAAAACAGTTACTTCATTAGAATAAGCAATTAAAAAATGAAAGTGAAATAGCTTGCATAGTTGTTGCAGACTTATATTTTAAAAATTGGTTTATTTTTAACTTTAAAAAATCTCCTTCCCATCAAATTCCATAACATTACTATTTCCTTGCGCCAAGTCAAAGATAAAAAAAAAAAAAAATGAAGTAATGGTTGAATTGAATTCGTTGCGTATGTTAGTAGTGTTACTAAATAATTGTATTTAAATCCGCTCACGTCACATGACACTAGGTATTTACAAATCATAAACGGATGTCGACAAGTAACATACCAGCATAGTTTCTTTTATTTTTATGGTACAAGTTTCTTTTTCAAAAGGAAAAATGAATTTCTCATTAAAAGTGTCACCGGCGGTGCTCAAATGACCATGAAAAATAAATATAATTCATTAATCAAATGACTGTTTTTAATTTATTTAATCAATTATGTATTTGTATGCTTGATTCTGCCTATAGAGCAGTCAAATTCCAACATTGACAAGTTTTTCTTAGAATTTAGTTCAGATGTCTAAAGCATAAAAATCCCAGTTATTCTGGTCTTCACCTTTTCTCCGATAATTTTAAAAATAAACCTCGTCATTTTCATTTCTTTTTAAATTCTTTAAAAGAAATTCTAATTCTAAACTTCGTTAAACTTAATCGCGGAAAATTTTTAAAATAAGTGACAATTTTACCATGTTTCATATTGTGGAAATTACTTTATAATTTTAAATTTAAAAAGTCTGTTTTAATTTTCGAAAAAAGACTGAGTGAGCTTCTGCTTACACATACCTTAAGCGCAAAAAATTGAATACGATTTTTTTCCAGTAGGCATAAAGAAATTTAGCTGAATTTAATTCCCATCTTGCTAGAAAAACTACTAGGCAAATACATTTATTTTTTGGAAATAAATGAGATGTTTTCCTTTAAACAATTTTCACACGAAAGATATTGTTCTAAGCAAGACATTAATTATTCACTGAAGTATTTTTTTTACATACGAGTATAACTTTTCTCTGAGCTGTCTGTGTTGTTTTTCCCCCCAAAGATGTAAGATGCCAATAATAGCCTTTACTTTTTAAAAAAATTTTTTAGCCTTCATCTTCCTACACCCTTTTTTTCCCTTTAGAATACCTTCATCTCATTTTTTTAGCTTTTATCAAAACATAAGAAAGCGAAAATTTTCACTCTTTTAAAACCTCCTGTTTATTCTTCTTATTTCTCATAGACTCTCAACTTCCTCTTTTTTTACGTTAACAAATCTTCACATGCCTACCGTAAACATAAGGTTGTGTTGTTGAGCGAAATGTATGATTTTTTTTTTACTTTGTCTAAAATTGTACTGTTTGTAATTACATAGATAATTTGTCATTAATTCCTGTTTATGGTGTCTTTGCTACACTGAGCAATATGACAAAAATGTAGTAGGTACCGGTTTTTTATTTTTATATTCAAGAAGAGCCACTCGAGACGGTGAGTTACAGAGTAAGAGGCACAGTTTTTATGGGGGGGGGGATAACAGATAATCCTAGACTTGAACAGATTAAAATTGTAGTGATTGAGGAAGCATCCTCTTAGTAGTCAGTTCCACAAAATAGCAGTTCGTGGAAAGAAGCTGATCAGGTGGAACTTATCTCAACAATGGAATAAAAAGGGAATGAGGTGGTTTACTACAATGTGCATGGCATGGTGACTGTGAAGTTTAGAACTGGTGGTATTGAGGAATGAAGTTTGTCTGAACATTTTCTGTAGAAATGGCATTAGAACAGCAAGAAGAGGCTTGCAATGTTTTGTCTGGGAAAGAGACAGTAATGTGGAAAACAATTTGTTACCCACAAGGACATGGAGACCCTCATGAACTCTATTGAAACTGGAAAGTGAAGACTGGGTAGTTTCATTTTTGACCTGATCTGGCTCTTCTAAAGGTAAAAGAGGAGTCAGGTACTTACTGAAGCAGTATAGGGAACCAACTATTTTTCTAGCATCTTTTGTAAGAGTTCCACTTGAGGTCTAGGTTGTATTTCAGTTCCAATGGGTGTTCAAGGAACACCCATTCATTGCAATAAGTGAAAATTCATGGTCCACTCGGTAATGGTGGAACATCACTAGTTTGGTTTTTGAGGCATTGAATGTGACCAGTCAGTCTCTCCTCCCCCCCTTTAGGTCTAGGTCAAAAGAGGAGATCAGCTGCCAAGCTCTGGTCATCTAGAATTTTTGAGGTGTACCCATATATCATCATATCATTAGCATAGATATTCACAAATGATCAATGTATACTCTTAGGCAGATAATTTATGCAAAGCAGAGTTGGACCGAGAAGTGAGCCTTGGGGCACACTTGTTGATTGATTGGGTCTCCCATAATTTGCTAAAAAAAAATGGATAAATGATGAAAAAAAAAAAATGACCAAGTCATAAGAAAAAACAAAATTTTATTGTAAAAATTATTATTATTAAGAGCCTAGATCAAAGGTTTTTTTGATATAAAAAAAAATATTTTTTATCCTTTTTAGAACTGGAAGTTTTGGTTAAAAATTCTGGCATCAACACAGGACCATAAATTTATACAGGAAATGTGAGCGTCTTTTTATGGTGAAAAACACATTGATTTGGAAATTGTTGCAAAAATCAGATACCTGTCAGATTTTGAAACTTTCAGGACTTATTCAGAAATGAAACTTTTTTTTTTTTTTAAGAAAATTTTGCTAAAAATATATATTTTTTTTTTTTAAACATCTGATATTACTAGTAAGCTTCCAAAGTGTTGAAATTCCAGTATTCAAAATTATTCCACTTGCCATATCTACAAATTCAATATGCTTGAAATACTGCAGGTGGTTAAAAAAAAATGTTATTTGAAAATTGATAATTGCCAAAATTTTACTCCAGGAATGTTCATTGCTTTCTCTGCAAATAACATACTCCCATTTTGGGGCTTAATTTGAATTGCTACCTAGTAACAGGGATTTAAAAAAAAGTTTCTCATTTGTGCAACCTGAATGAAATGTTTTTTGTTTATTTTTTTTTTAATTTCTCTATTGTATGAACACACAGTTCACAAATAAAAAAAAAAAAAAAAATTTTGATGCTGGCTCATTCCACTTTCGGATCAATGAAGGAGGCCCAGCTTATTTTTTTAAAAATTGCATTTTTACTCGTGTGATTATTTCACTTGCATTTTTGTGATAAATTTAGTATTGTCAATGGTTATATCTTTATTAAATGCCAGATATGAGTAAAATAAGGGTGTCTCTTTACAATATATATGGAGGGAAGCTGAAACTCTCTTGGCCCAACCAAGAAGCCCTTACTCAAAAAATGTTTGGTCATTTGGTCAGATTTTTGAAAGTAGATTGGACCAAGAATTCCTCCTTCATAACTGAGTTATAAGAGGCCTGCTTCATGTTTGAGATAGTGGTACCTATAATTTTAGTGTCAGAGGATTGTGAATGCTCAATTACCAGATTGATGATGCATTTTGACATGTTTAATCACCTACAGTAGCCTCATCACAACACTTTTTTTCTATTTCTCTTCTTTGGAGTTGCATTTTTTTAAAAATAAAAACCATGTGTCAAAAATATTATTTCTTGTTTTTCTGATAGAAACAGTAGAGAAAAAAAATGCTATCATAGATCATTCACACAGTTCAATAGAAATCAATCATTTTCATATTTATTTTGATATACTAAGTTGTAATGGGTTTACTTGCTGCTGAAGTGTATTTTTTTTTTTTTTTTAATTTTAAAAAATAAGCAGGGTCTTGTTGGTTACTGTCAAAGTAGAATGAATCGGTATCAAAAAAAATTATTATTGACCAAAGAGTGGTATATTTAAAGATTAAAAAAAAATTGTTTGGATTATTATAGTATAAGTTTTATAAAAAAAAAATTTTTTGGTTTTAATAATACTGTTTTTAGTTTCTTTAGTGTTTAATTTGTCATGGGTAAATTTTAGTTTATGTAATTAACTTAACAAATTTCTTGCATAAACTTGTGGGTAAGTAAATTGAAAGACGAGTTTGTCTAAATTTTTTATACCAGTTTCTGAAGATGTCAGTAGAATAATATTTTTCTCTTTGTAGGTTTGACTTTTTGTGTATCCCAGTGGTGAACCCTCGATACAAACGAGAATTTGTGAGAGGCCCCAGCAAAAAACGTACAGGTCCTTTTACACGGTCTGACCTTGTATTAAGCAGCCATGGTAAGACTTCTGCCTTTGTTTTATATATATATGAAAAATATGTGTTTTGTTTTTGATTTACCAAAGTTGAGTCATAGGAAAATGATGTCCATTAAACTTTTGTTTTTTCTGTAACTTGTAATGGATATATTAAGTAGTTTGATCAGTAATGCTGCACCTTTGAGGATGGAATAAAGACGCCTTTTAAATATAAAAAAAATTATTTGCAAAGTAATTGACCTTACTATTACTGTAAAATGATTTGTGAATATGGCACATGAGCAACAGAGAGGACGGGGAAGTGAGAATGAAGTCATATAAAAGTAAAGGCAAAGAATAAGACTCAAACATGAAATAGCGTTTTTTTTGTCCTCATACCGAAATTCTTTCTTGGCTACTAGGACTGAGTGACGTTTTAAGGCTGTGAAACCTTTTTTATTTTTTTGTGTGTGTGTACATAGTGCATCCTGCTCACAGATATAAGTAAGATTTGTATTGCTTTTTTTTCCCCTTTCTTTTGGCACTGACAAAAATCTTATTATTCCTTCTTGTTGGGTGAATATGAGATTTAGATGAAAAACATTTCAACTTTAAAACGAAAGTTCCATTTTCATAAAGTCTGTGGATGTTTCTGGATCCTTGTCTGTTCATCATATTTAAGAAGGTAGGTTTTTACAGAGTGGGGTTGATAACCCCCTGCTTCTCTGTTTTACCCATAATAGGGAAAAGGAGCAGCAGATTCTACTCCTAGTTTTGAATTAAAGAGACCTCCTCTTTCTAAATTGGTATTGATTAATGCTAGTTAGCTTAATCTGCTCTACTATTTTATCCATAGTTGTAAAGGAAAAGAGATGGCTTCATGCCTTTCCTAAAGGCAGTAGTAAAAAGTGATCATAAAACTATCTCAGCTTGAATTTGAACTCAATCCACTGATTCCATATGAACATTGAGATTAAGGCAAAACAATCAGAACAGATAATTCTTGTTGAGAATGAAATGATTTATACAAAGAATTCATACTTTGGTCAGTCAAAAGTGTATTATTCTTCAGCAACCACTGCTTAACTACACTGAATAAAATAATCATAAGATCAAATTGTTGGAATATTTGACTGCCTTCTCTTAACTCTACTGACACCATAAGATTTTCATTTAATCAGATCACTGAAACACATAGAAGCAAAATCTTTTAAAAGTAAAAACAGATCAATTCAGCATTATCAGAATTCTAAATTTTTTTTCCAAAAATAATAAAATTACTTTCATGGTAGGTTTTTGTCATTGTTAATAATAATTATGTTCTTGATAAATACCTTAAATTTTGTTACATTTAAGTAAATTTTATTTAAAAGGTATGACATTATCTTAAAAAAAAAAAAAAAAAAAAAAAAAAATGATACACCAGTTTAGAAATTATGGTAGAATATGTTTTATTTTTAAAAGTGATGTGTGTGTGCGCGCACATATGTAAAATATAAAAATAAGGCATTCAAATTATTGTGCCCAAACAAAGTTTGTAGCATTTTTAAGTGGATTTCAAAGACAATATTTAGATATTTGTACACAGATTTATTCAACTGCATATGTACAATTTTCTTCTACTACCTTTCACCACCTTTAAGGTAACTTCATGATTCTATCCTCCTAGAACTTGGAATCATTTGTGGTGTTGAACCAGTCTAAGTGGCTTTTACAGGCTTCTAGAGAATTAAAGTTCTTCCCATTAAGAGAATTTTGTAGGGATTGAAATGAGTGGTAATCCAAAGCTGCAAGGTCTTAATAGTAAGTCTGATTGATTTGATAAGGTCAAATTGATCTAAAGAAAACCCTGTAATCTGTTGTTAAATGGGACAAGGAGTGACTTGTTAATTGTAACACCTCAAAAACCAGAATCTGTCTTACATATTTATAAGGCTACCATTTGTCCTTGCTTTGAATATTGCTGCCACTTCTGGTCTGGTGCTTCTACTATATATTTAGAGATTCTTGATAAAATACAAAGAAGAATCTGCAATGTTATTGGTTATGACCTGTTATCTCAACTTGTCCCTTTCCCATGGCCATAGCATAGCTTCTCTTTGCCTTTTCTGTAAATATTTTCATGGTGATTGTTCTTATGAACTTTCCTCTATGGTACCTAGACTTTATGAATTTAAGCACAGTACCAGATTGACAGCAACTTTTACAGTTGAAATGGTTAGATGTAACTAAGTTCTTTGCTAACAGTTTCTTCTATGACATTTCTTGCTTCCCAGTCAAGTTTGATCTTCAAAAATTTAAATGCAATGTCAATCGTTATCTTCTGTTTTCTTAATTCTTGTTCTTTTATTGTCCTATCTCCTTTATAGTAGTTTTTCTTATATTCTCTAACAGTAATCTCTTGTGTCCTAGTAGTTTTATTGCCTTACAGTGAAATGAGTAAAAAGTGGGGAGTGGTGATTACAGTAAATGTAGTTAGACATCACAGCCAAGCTGTACCAATTTCTGCCAGGTCAACAAAGAGGCATGAAGAATGGTGTTGGCCAATCCCATATGTTTTTCATTGATTGTTGCCTTTAATTGGAAAGAGCTCCTGACATGCAAGTCTCTTCCAACCTCATCAGATATGCTGCTTTGCCTTTGAATGCAGACCTACTTTAGGGTAACTTTTTGTTTTTGCTCCACATTGTTGAAAACAGTCCATGTTTTCATTGCCTGTGATCATTCTTTCCAAAAATAGGTTATGTTATGTATGAACAGAGAATCACAAAGGGAAATGCAGTTCATTAAATTATTTTTCATTAAATCATGCAGCAACAAAACATCATGGCATTTTACATATCCAAGTTTTCAAATGCCTTACAATGCTCATATTAGATACGTAGAGAATTTCTGATATCCTCTAACCTGGATTATTTTTAATCAGTGTTTCGATTTAGTTATCATTTTCAACTTCAGGCCTGCTGAAACATTCTCAGTCTTCTAGATGAAAATTTCCACCTCTGAACCTTCCAAACCACTTCTGAACATACCTTTTACCTTAAGTGACTCTTGCACCTTGTATTGGATGAACATTAACATAATATAAAAAAAAAAACAAACTTCTTTTAGTTATGGCACCATCTCTATAACTAGCATATATCTTTTTTGCTGTTTGTGTAGAATTTTTTCTTCACAGAACTGAAAGAGCATCAAATGACAAAATGCATTTTTCACTTTTAATGTAAAAGCATTTAAAATCCACACAGAAGTTGTATAGAAAAATTAATTGGAAAAAAAAAAAAATTCAGTCCTGTCTGAAACAAAATCAAAATCAAGCACCTACTATTAAAAGATTCTACAAACTTGTTTGAACCCAATATATGCTATAGTAGAATTGAAATTAAGTACAAAGCAAGAATAACTGCATTATAAAATATAGAATCATATAGCAAAAATTACTCTTTGTCTCTTGATGATACATTTCAATGAAAAACTTGTCTCAAATCTTTATCTATGATTTGACAATCACTTAAATTTGTGTCCTAATAGGAATAAAATAAGTTAATCATTGTCAAAAAATACAAAAACTAGTTTTATGTGACATACAAATTTTCTTTTGAAATAATTGTTTTTATTCACCAGTTCTCATGATTTGGACCATAATCTTTTTATATTAATTGAATCTTATATAACTTTATACTTTAAAAAAAACATTCCAATTTGATTGAATTTCAGTATTTTGATAAAAAATAATTCATTTGAATTTTTTGTCATTATAGATTGGAACATGTTCATAGGGCTGAAGATATCTCCTTGGCTCCAGACAGATGCATCAAATGTTGAAATCCGAAGAAATTCAGAGCATGTAAGTGATATTGTGTAATTGATGTCATAAGAAAATCTGTTTAAAAAAACTGCTTGCAGATAATTGGTTAACAAAAAAGTTACTTAAAATCAGTTGATGAGATAGCTAATGTCACTCTGTAGCTCTGTGGATAAAGCTACGGCCTTTCAGCCTTCAGTACAATTTTTTTACTGTTAAGCTAATAATCAGTATAGCTGCAGTGTTTCCTTTATAAATCTAGTTGTTCTGTTGATTGGTACAGATTTAATGATCCTCCTTATTTCAATCGATCCTTCAGTTTGAGTGCCAATATGATCATAATTTTAGCAAGGAGGTTTTTATAGGGTGAGGGATTGCAAGCCTCACTGTCTACTTTTTACTATTTTCACCCATAAAAGGAAAATTATTGGTTAGTTGATTTTATGATATATTAACCCCTTGTTGGCTTATTTAATGTTGAATTTTGTATGGTGCCAGTGAAGATTGAACTCATTTCTCAGTATTAATAATCAACCAGATGAGCCTCACTGAGGTGTCTATAAAGGAAAAGGTAAGTAAATTCCACTCCTAGTTTTGAATTCAGAATTGTTCTGCTAGACTGATTGCCAATTAATGCATGTAAGTTTACTCTGCATTGCTATTTAACCCATATCTAGTGAAGAAAAGAGTTGGGTACATACCTTTTCCCAAGAACACAGCAGAAACTATCTCAGCTGGAATTTGAACTTAGTCTGTTAAATATATTTTCTGTCCCATTAACCATTTAGCCACAATTATGTAAAGGTAACAAACCTACAAAAATGTGCAATAAAAAAAAAAAAAATTGATTAAAAGAAAATTAAAGAGGTTTTCTTTATCATCACTTCTTTATGCAATTTTTTCTCTTTGTTTCAGTCATTTAAACAGGAATTAGCATGGTCATCTTATCTGAGTGTACCTGTGATTATTATACAACTACAGAATAGTCGTGTCACCAACATGACCAGAATCCTTAACACCCACATGATCAATTCCTATTGGCAACAGGTAAGCAAAGATTGATTTCTCCAAACTGAATTTCACCAACACTCCTATGTTGGAGGTCATCTGTTATGAACTTCAAATTCTTTCTTATTATTTTATTTTTTCCACCAATCAGTGACTTTCATGTATTGTATTGATATCTCTGCCACTAGTGCCGATTGTTTGATGTGTGCTGATTATTATTTATTATCTATTATTTAGATTTTATTCCAAAGACATTTATAACATCTATGAAGCTGTAATCTGTAAACAAACTTTATTGGGATGACTAATTTTTTATTCTATCTATCTATCTATCTATCTATTTATATTTTTTTTTTATATCACTCCAATTAAGACAATAAAGCCACTAGGATGTATGATGTTACTGAGAGGGAAAGAAACAGAGGGAGACAATATAAAAACAGGATTCAAGGAGACAAGATGACAACTATTATTACATGTAGTGGGCTTGATTTTTGACTTAGTACCACATTATGGTCTTTTGTCAGACTAAATTATGTTTGAGAAAAAGTGTACCTGTTCTAATAGGTGTTTCAACAAAAATAATTTTTAAAAATCTATTTGGTTCATTAGTTTTTGTAACCTAAAAGTAAAATACCTTTTAGGTTACACTGAAAAGCTTAAAAATGTTAATGTTTGCAATATTGAAATTATCAATTATTGAATATTCATGATTTTTTTTATTACTTCAAAAATAGCACTTCATTAGGAATATTAAACAAAAGTGTTTAATATTCTAATTAATTGTTAAGTCAGCTGGTAGTTTGAAAATTGTGATGTAGAGAAACAGGAAGTGATTGTTAAGAAACAGCCTATGCCAACAAAAAAAAACATTTTAAGTGAAAGATACAATTAGCTTACTTTTTTTTTTTTTTGTTGGATAGCAGTTGGAGTAGATCAGTTGAATGCTAATGGTTTTTGTTTTTTTTGTTTTTTTTAATCAATTCACCTCAAACAAGACAACAGTGGCACAAAGGGACTAGTGGGAGTGAAAGAGAATGAAAAGACTTTAGAAGGAACTGGAAACAAGGGATAAACCTCTACTCATCTTCAACAAATTGGGGATATTAATGTCATTAAAAGTAGATGGGGTGAAAATGGCTCCTTAATCTTTTGCTAAAAATTTTGTTCTCATGATGGCTATATGTACTGTTATATAACTATGGGGTTGAGATTTTGTTCAAAACTTTGGAAAATTTAGTATTTTAAATTCCTTTTGTAATATTAAACATTGTAGTGTTTTTAAATTGCTTATAGAGCTGATTTATATTTTTGTATCAATTAGAAGTCATTCTGGAAATATTAGGAGTGAATTTTTTAATTTGTTTCAGCAATATTGGATTCAGGTGCCTCTTATTGCTCCAGAATTACAAACAGAAAACCTTATTGAGGGCATTGAAGATGCTGATCGAGATGAAATCTACAAAAACAATAACCAATATAACACATGGTATTGGTAAGTATTGATCTTTGACTTAATTTACTGTCAACAAACCAGCAAAACATACCATAGTGTTGCACAAGACCAAATGATAGGAAACTGGAGTAGAAAGATTATTGAAAAACTTCTTCAATTGAGAAGGGCTCAACATTTAAAATCTTGTATTTTTTTCTCCTCACTTGAGTTTAACTACTGATGGTTGGTGCCAATAGGATGGGAAGTGTGGAACTAACTACTTCAATTGCAAACAATCACTTTTACAACGGAAAAATTAAGTAACAATTCTTGATATATTGACATCACTTAAAATTTTAAAAAAAATCAAGAACATCAATTGGAGATCGCATGCAACACTTAACACAATTTACAGAGAACTGAGATCAATCTCTGTTAAGCTCAAACAAAAACAATTGCAGTTTACCTGCCACTGCCACCGAGCAGACGGGGAAGTCGTCTCATTCTTACTTCTGGAGGTGTCTTCTCACAAAAGTTGACTTTCTCAGACACCAGGACTCAGGACTCAGGGTTGGACATTGAGAATCTGGGGACAGCAATGCATGACCGAGCAGTGTGGAAAGGGATTGTTAATGGAGTTCTGACCAACCACAGGGAGATCAAAGGACGATGATGATAAAATCCTATAACAACTGTTTTTACCATTTAGAAAATTTATAACTACAAAATATTAATTTTAAGCTTTAAACTAAAAAAATGTTATTTGCAACAAATAGATGGTGTGATTAATAAAATAAGTGACTCCAGTTTAATCTTTTGAACACAAATATTTTTTATTCAAAAATAACTGTTGGTTGGCATCTAAACCTGCTCCCTCACAAGCTTTTCTTTTGGTGTCTAGGGGTGGCATGCCACTCCACAGGGTGAAAAACAAGACCTCGCAAAAGGATGAGCTTCTTATAGAAGAGTGTGTGTACATGTATGTATGTATGTGTGTGTGTGTGTGTGTATATATATATATATATAAACTGTGAATGTCTGAATTGGCATCAGGAAGATCATCCAGTCTTGTAAACCTTGCCTCAAATCATTATGACAAATCCTCTGTTGGGCAGGACACACTTTGCTTTATGCTGGTCCTACCTCAACAAAAAACACATGCTATGTATGTACAATAACTAAAATAATATTAAAAATTTTTACAAATTTTCAGTTAAGTGAAAGATGAGTAGATATGATTTGAATCCCATCATTGGCTATTTCGTTGCTTTTTTCTTAATACACTTGAAGAAACTTAAAAAAAAATCCTGGAATCCAATTGATGACATGAAAGATTTAATTATTGGATATGATTTGTTGTTTTATTTGTCTTTATAAGTCACTATCACTAAGTTAGATTTTAAAGAGCAAAGAGTTTGTGAAAGTTTTTTTTTCTTGCTCCATAGAATTGTTGCTGAAAGTGGTGATTATATTTGAGCAAGATTTTAAAACAAAAAAGGATTTTTGAGTTAAAGATATAGCCTGTTTTGGCTGCTCTTTAACATTTCAGAAACGTCTTGCAGTTGTGATTGTTGTTTGCCACCAAATATCACTCAACAGTCTGACTCACTAGGCTGTAGGTATATATACTACCAAGTAGCACATCTAATAACTAATCTCAAACATCAGTGAATTCTGGATTCTCTCATACAAATACAGATCTTGGAAGTAACAAATTGTCTTCAATGAGTTTTACGTTTATATTTGGTCTTATTATTGTTTTTGTATTCTTCTAGGTGGCATACTTTTAGAACATTATGTGAACCAAACAAAAAACTTGGAGTTGTATTAGAATTAACTGCTGACCTTCCAGATGAAGATGTACTTGAACGCTGGCTGTCTGAGCCAATCAAAGCTTTATCTTTGTCAACTAGTTTGTTTTTAACTAATAAGAAAGGTTATCCAGTTCTCTCACGTGCACACCAGTCTTATCTTCGAAAGCTATTTAAGGTATGTATCTATTTTGGCTTGTAACTAGACTTGCTATTTTTCAATTTTTCAGGAAGATAGCTTTCTCAAGTACAGTAGCTGTTGTTGTTCTTTCAAGTATTGATGGGGGTTTCCTTAACCTTTTGTTTGAAGTCGTGTGGAATGTCAACATCTTGATTATGTCATTATTTTCTCTTCAAGTTACATGTGCTATCCATTTTAGGTGTTGATGTTAGCCTGCTCTGATGGGAAAAAATGGACAAGCATTGATTGAGCCTCTTTATTTATTATTTTTAGGTAAAAATCTATTTGGCACCATCATACATGTCCTTGCTTCTTACATTTTTCTACTCGCTCTCACCAAAATTTCTTTTTTAAAGAAAAAAAGTCTTTTTAGATGTTAACTCCTCCAAAACTATTTTTTCTAAATATGGTCTGAAATTGTAAGATTTCATTATCAACATTCCATGAGGAATTCCAAGTTTTTTTCTTGGACAGACTGAGAATATTTCAGTCCCTCCTCATCTCAAACTTGTAAATGCTGATGTTAATTAATATTGAAAATAAATATGAAAGACAAGAATTAAATTCACGTCTTAAGCATGACTAAAAATCTTAAATCACACTTAACTGCAGCTGTCTGTTAAATATTTACACTTTTTAGCTATTCTCTTATGTTTCTGATCGTTTCAATGTATTTTTGTTCTCTTTCCAGCTAGATGTACAGTTAATTTTAACAGGTGCCAACCGACATCCTGACAAAGGGATAACATCATATGTTCAGTACCTTGACCATCTTTGGCAGGTAAGTTGTGTTTTTTCTTATTTATTTACTAATAGTTAATGTAATATGATACCTAAGGGCTACTCAAGGTAGAGGGTTACTGAGTGAGTGTGTTGTCAGTGAAAGGGAAGGAGGAATTAAGAAATACATATTATAAGGATATGTAGGATATCTATTGTTTGATCCTGGACTTAAAGAGACCAAGATTGTCGGGAGTCTGTTCTACAAACAACGATTCTGAGGAAGAAGTTGTCTGAGGAACATAAAGGGAATGGGGATGGTTTGTGAACATGGCATGATGGGTCCTAGCTATAAAGGTCTGAACTGGTGGAACTAAGGAATTTAACTCATCCAAACATCTGCCATAGTAATAGTGATAATTTAGTGAGAGGCTAGCAATGTTTCATCTGTAAGCTAAGTCACAGGGTGGAGAATAATTCATCATCCACAAATCAGTGTAAATACTTTTGAACTCTGTTGAGGCTAGATAGTTTGAGCAGTACCAGCCTATATGTGGCTGCAATACTCCATTCTTGATTTGATCTGGCTCTTGTAAAGATAGAACATGGCAGCAGAAGTTAGGTATTTTCTGGATTGATGCAAGAAAATGATGATTCTTCCAGCGTCAATCACAATGGCACAAATGTGTTCCATTGAGGTTTGGAGTGAACTTTAAATGAAGATTGGTGCAGGATTAGGGTCTACTCAGTGATGATGAAATGTTACTATTTTTGGATGAGCCAGTTTTTTCCCCATTGAGCTGTGAGAGTTGTCAGGGGAGAGATCAGCTGCCCGGCATTTGTCATCAAGATACCTCATCTGTAATCAATCCTGTTTCACGGCAAACAAATGTAATTCCTTGATCAATCCTGGCTTAGAGCAAACCAAATGTAACACTTCATCACAGTCACCCAGGGAACGATCCTGGTTCACAACACTTCAATCCGATACTGGTTTGATCAATGGAGTGATCTGTTCGATCTTGACCTGCCTTACCCCATGTTGTGATTATTTTGATTATAAGAAGACCAAGATTGATTTATCACAGGTATCTTCATGTTGGACTGGTCCAACTCTAGCGAAGTCATACAATAAAATTGGGGGAAAAAAACAGCACTCGAAATATATATAAAAAAAATAATTACTATCTTTATATCAATTCTGCGTACAGGGGTTCATTAGTAGTTGTATTTGCATACAGGTGTTTGTTGACCCAACCCGTTCATAAATCAGATGCAACAGCTTGTAAATTTTTGACTTGCAGAGTTATCGAAATTTGTTTTACTGTTTTGGTAAGTTTGGCTCAAGGCTGAAGTTGGAGGTTCTTGTGCTTGGCAGGAAGTTGTGGAATCTCTCAGCGATCTCCGTTGCTGTCTCTCTGAACTCAACTCCCAAACTCAACTGTTTGAATGGCTTTCACGCATTCATTTTTATGGACTCCAACTAGAAACCAGTGCAGGGCAAGATGTAGGCTGGGTTTCAGTGAATCCCCTTATTTCCAACAAAAGTCCATTATTTTTGGTCTTGAGAAATCAAATTAGTTTCATAATTCTGGGGAATTCTCCCTCTCTTGTGCAGGGAAGTGGGGGTTGCAGACATCGCTTTGCCTGGCTGCTCCCAGCTTCTCTTAGTACCATCTCTCACTATTGCTCCCCAGTGGGTGTGAGCAGCTCCTTAATGTCTCTGTGCCTGCTACTCTTCAGTGGGTGTAGACTACCCCTCTTCCTTCCTTGATCACTCTTCTGCGCCTGTCACCTCCAACATTCAATCTAACACTTTCGTCCCAGTCCCTCAACCTCCGGTGTCTTACTCTCGGGATTGAGGTGTTTACTCGGTCCTAACTGAACTTAAGGGAGTGGCCATAGGTCCCCTGAGCATCCGTAGATTATTTGACCAGTCTGCTGGTTTAATCCTCCTTCCTGCCCACGTTGGGATTTGTTTGATCCAGAAAGTGATGTCCGTCTATTCACGGTTGACTGAAGATGTAGACACAGCTGCGCTAAGAAATTTAGAATGCAGCAAAAAAAAAAATAAATATCTGCAGAAAGCCGGACAAACTTTGATTCAGTGGTTGAATTGTTAATGTCTTTTATATAGCAGAAAAAAATAGTAGAGAAGAGAAACTGGTTACAGAAAAGAAAAGTAAAAAAAAATCATACACTGGATTCTAGACAGAGAGAGAGTGTTGTGATTATCTTGTTGTTAAATCGTCTCAGAATGATATATGACTCTTGCAATGGAGGGATAAAGATTTCTGTGCGGAGCTTAAAGTTATAGTGACGTTCCTCCTCGCAACACTCGCCCGGACCAATTCTCTCTTCTTTCTTCAAGAATTTTCTCCTATCTGTCTTTTTCAGCATAACTGCGCATTTATATAGATAAACCCGGCTGGTTATAACTGACCCTCAGCCCTACTACTTTGCACAAGATTATCACTGGGTTCTGGCTGCTTCAACCAAAATCATGTGAATTCCAAAGTTCTTTCTAGCTTACTCAGCTCTATTTCAATTTCTAATCGATAAAAATTTTTTCGACCATTTCCATTGTCTCTTGATGACCCAGATTCAATGGGTACAATTTTTGCCTAGATCATACTTCCCCATCAGTAAACAAAATGCTCTGATTTAATTTCGCTATTCAAATCTACTCCAGTTTCATTAAAAAAAGAAATGTGTGTTTCCCAGACTCTCTCTCTCTCTCTCTCTGTCAAACGATTGGAGATTGATAAAAAAAAATGTTTTCAAATGTATTTTTCTCATAAGTGAATTGACACCACATTTGGTTCTCTCACCTCTGACCCAAGAGACACTTTCCCAGGGAAATCTTTAGTGCTCGGCCACAGGTGTTCAATTCATTGTTTTTATCTCTGATATCTTGCGAAATGGATTCATTTAGCTTTAATTCCAGATTCAGGCATTAGTTGTCACCGGCTGTCAACAGCTGATTTGTTCACACAAACTGAGATTCACATTCAAGCAGTCATTTGGTCCATTATACATATTTAGATTCTCTGGGACCAATTCTTACTATCAGCCTATTTTTCCGGTATTGGTTAACTCTTTTCATGCTAAGTTATTCATTATCTTGTTTTCAAGTTGCCATTTTGATTATTAATTACCGGCAACCCAAATAGTCTTACACACCCATAAAAGGGTAAATGCCTCGAGTCCACAAACACATTAGTCTGGTGGCTAACGTCAACCAGCTTGCTTGATTTAAGGGACAATTTTCCATGCAGCATATCTACGGTTGACTTTCCCTAGTGAAATCCCTACTGCATACTCTAAAAGAAGTATCTGATCAGATGAACTGTCTGTTTGATGCTAGAATGTTGGCTATCTAGAGGACTAACTATGGGTACAAATTTGACCTGGAGCAAATTATAATAGTCATTTGCACACAGTCTCTCAAGTGGACCAATAAATGATGTTGGACATCTTGTGTTGCCATCAATGTGCTTAAAAACAGCTCTGAAAAGAAGCTCATTTTTATGTAGAGAGCAACCAATGATGTGTAATTTTCTTTTTATTTGTTTCTCTAGAACTGTAACTAGCCCAGCTTCACAGCCAGTATTTGTATGGGTGTTGTCCAGTAAAACAGCCTTTGGGGTATCAGCACTGTTATACTCCTGCCAAAACACTAGCAACCTCCTTTGCTAAAACAGCACCGATTGCACCAGTATTAGTGATAACTCTATGAGTGAGGTATTTTCCACTTTCACCACAACCCATCTCCTTTATGAATGTCAAATGGTGTTCTGTTCCATTTGTTTTCTGTAATTTTTTCTTTCCATCTGCCTCCACAATCTCCTTATATAGCAATGTATCTTTGTCATGTCTTCCGTCAACAACAATACAAATAATTTTTTCTGCTTTATCAATGTGATTTTGGTGGGCATTTTGTTTTTGTTCTTTCTTTTGCACAGTCTATTTTAGATTTATCCAAAATTGTCTTCAATATTAACACTTGGTTTGAGAAGGCCTTCAAATCTAAAAGAAAGGCATTTGCAAGGCTTGCTCCTAAGTTTGATGAACGATCACCCCTGATCGACTCAGTAGCATATGGAGGAATTTTTAAAAGGCTGTAAACACCCTTGGAATGTCTGGCAGGCTCATATTCTTTATATATTTCATCGCTATTTGATGACTGGAAAGAATAACATCCTGATCATAAGATGTGGAGGCAATAGGAGATGAATAAATTTGTTTTTGTCTTTCTCCTTCCACTACACTCTTTTTGGGCTTCTGAATGGCAGTTTTATCAACAGGTCCAAGTTGGAAACTACACTTGGGTCCTATTTTGGCCCTCTGGTCTTTTAAATAGTCTCCATCTTCCACTTGTTCCTGAAATATTGAATTTTGAAATAGCAAAGTTTAAGTTTGAATAAGTACTTTTTAGAAAATAACTATACTGGATGATTTATCGAAAAGTAGGCGGCTCTGTTTTATACCTATGGACAAGGTGATCCTCCAAATTTTGTAGCAGTAACACTGCGAGTAGAAAGTACATTTCGTTTTCCAACCATTTTTATAAAAATATCTGAAAAAAATGTTTATTCTGTTATTATAAAAAATTAAACAAATTGAATTCTAAATTCTAAAGTGAAATAAAAAATCTGGAAAAATATAATAAAAGATGAAATAATAAGTATGTATTTACTTACCTTACGAGATAAATGAAAAAAAACGCTCATGAAAAAAAAAAAAAAACCTCACAAATGAAAAATAATGTCTTCAAAAATAAAAAAAAATATATTAAATATCACAGTGAATATAAAGTTCTTTCTTTCTTTTAATAATTTAGTTTATTAAAATAAAGAAGGAACAGACTTAATTATGTTTGTGTTTTAAACTTGAAACAAAATGTAAGCAAAAAACACGTGGAATGCTAACAATATTTCCAGTGCAGACTGAAAAAATAACCGCCTAAAACATGGTAGAATTCCTTTATAGTTTATAGAATCTTAAATGAAATATTTTTTGTAGTGTTTGCTTTTTTAATTTACTTTTCTTTAATTTACCCAGAACTGCACGATTCTGAATAAAATAAAACATTTTTTAAGGCTATTTTCTACATTTTTTTTCTTCAGAACCCAGTGTTAATTTGACCTACTTATCTTTTCGATTAGCACCAAGCAAAATTCAGAATATTCGATTATGTTACTATTTAAATACATTTGTGCAAAAATTGGTAAACTTTCAGAGAGAAATATTTTGTGCAGTTATTATTTATGTTAATTAGCAACTTTCTCTGGGTAGAGTTAGTTGTGGTTTCAAAATCGACCTACCCTATTGCATAGTGATCAGTGTTTGAAGTTTGACGAGGCAGGTGGTGGAGCGACTCAGGTTTCTGGGTGTGGTCTTTGACGTGAAGCTGGCTTTTGTACTGAGGTGCAAAGGGCTAGAAATGTGGCAGGGTCAATTTTGCAGCTTCTGTGTGTGGTGGCTCGTGCTGTATCGGGAGCAGATTGGTGTACTTTGATCAAGCTGTATGGATCTCTGTTCTGTTCCAGACTGGATTGTGCTAGTTTTTGTATATGTGGAAACCAGTTGAGGATGGGGGTGGGGTGGGGTTCGTGCAAGAAGATCCTCAGCATAACTTGCCATCAGGGGGCTCAGATTGCTGCTCAGTGCTTTCAGAACATCCCCAGTGGAGAGCTTGTATATGGAGGCCGGTGGGGCCCCTTCACATCTGCAGCATGTTGAACTGGTATTGCAGTATTATGTAGGAGTTGGATCATGCCCAGCTGGTCTGGCTTGTGAAACAGCTGTTGCGATTGGTTCCATTATGTAGGGGGTGCCATGCAGTGAACTTGGGATGGAGTTCATTGCTGGGGAGTTGGATGCTTCATTATCAAGTGTACAGGAAGCAACAGTGTCCAGTGTTCCACCATGGATGGTTGAGCATCGTGGGGTTCTTGGAATGCATGGTTTTCCAGGATAAGGGACCCACCTTTTCATGTTTTTGGGCAGATTACAGGAGATGCTGGAGGACTTCCATGACTGTGCAGCTGTCTATACAGGCAGGTCAGGGAGTGGGGATAGGGTGGGATGTGCCACAGTAGGCTGAAGAATTGCCAGGGGGAGATTTGATTTTCACTGCAGAGGTTTGTACGATTGAGTTGGCTCTGGACATTGTCACTGTGAGCGGACTGGAGAGCATCCTAGTCCTTTCAGACTCACTCTGTCCTGTTGGCTTTGGAGGGGGCAGGTTCAACAATCCAATGATTATTGGAGTATTGCAAAAGATCAGCACAATGAGCAGGGGAGAAGTGTGCTGTTTTGTTGGATCCCTGGCCATGTATAAGTAAGATGTGGCTGTGGAGCAAGACCTGGCAGCCAGGTTGGCTTTGGGTGTGGATATGGTTATCGGGGTCCCATAGACAGTTTTTGGGGAGGAGATGAATAAATGTATTTTGGAAGGGTAGCAGGAGTGCTGGGACAACTATCCACATGATGGGCTCTGTTACATGTTTCAGGTCTCAAGGGAAGGAGGTCGTAACAGTCTGTTTGCGCATTGGCCGTGCAAGAGTGGCACATTCTTTGGTACTAGCTGGGGAGGTTCAGCTGGTGTGCCAGGCATGTGGAGCAGAGTTGTCCATTGAACATATTTTGACAGTGTCCAAAGCTAGTTGTCTCAGGACAGCAATTTTACAGTGCCGATGACATGTTTGAGCTGTTTGGTGGGGTAGGTGTCAATGATGTACTGATGTTTCTGGGAGTGGTTAGCCTCTGCAGGAGAGAGTAGTGACGTGACAGTGTTGTTATAATAAAAAAGAAAAAGGTCTACAGGGCTGAACTATTGATGGAGGGCCCTATTTGCAGTGATGGAACTGGGAGGCTGGATGTGTAGAGGGTGAATGTTGCCCTCAATTCTTTGTTGAGGGAAGGAGTGGTGTCAGCGATGTAGTTGTCTCTCAACGGAGAACCTCTTTGCAGGAGTGTTAATGGAAACTTGATTTTCAGGGTGATTTTGTTGTAGGGAATACTTATATATATTGTTGGCATTAAATGACCCTGTGATGTTGATATGCCATAAAACAAACCAAACCATTTTCTTATGTAGCATTTATTCACCATTAAAATTTACAATATTGGAAGCAATTCTGGCGTAAAAGATGTTTTGGATGACTTTACTTTTTAGGAATTGGTATTTTAAGTGATTAAATACAAAAGTTCTTGTTGCTATGTGTATTACTATTGAATAAAATTTTCATTAATCATACAAATTTTATGAATTTTTTTTTTTTCTTGGTGGGTTTTGGTTACAAAATATGCTAAACGTTTTCTTGAGCTGATTGTTTCAAATGCTACAATTAAGTATCCAGTGATAAAATATTCAGTGTTTGTACAGGTCCTGGAAAATTGACATGTGCGATGAAAGCTATGAATAGTAGGGGTAGCTAAAATGTGTAGTCTTTTTGATCAAATTTCTATTTGTAGTTCTGTTTATTAAAACTATTCTACTTCACAGGAAATGTGCATCAGCCAAGAATTTTTGTGACATTCACAAGCCACGAGTAGTTTAGATAACTGAAATGTGTAAGAATTAAAGTGTGTAATTCAAAATTTTCAATGGTGTAGAATGCTACACAAAATGTATAACATAACCAGTTGTGTTTTAACCTTCAACACTTAGATTTCTTCACTGCTTTCAACTGATCCATGCAATATGAATTATTGGAACCACCTGTAGGTTTTTTTTTTTTTTTTTTAACATCTGTCAAACTATTGAAAAGATAAATCACAAAGTTTGTGTTTTTGAAATTGATGACGCATTTTGTGTGTGTCCTTGAAACTTCTTAACATAGTCCTGCTTGAAAAATCTTGAATTTTTTTTTTTTTTTTTTACATAGATCTGTGGCTACCCTGAATTGATACCCTTGTCCCCATCCCATATCTGTCTATAACTTTGAAGTAAATGAGACAATTTTATAAATGTTGTTAGATTTTTCTGTAACTTTTCTTTTCTTTCCTTGAATCTTTCTTATTTTACATTGGGTCATCTTATAACTTATACATTCTTCAAATTTTTAAACTGTTGGTTGTGTTGACCAAAATAGTCTGGGTATTGCTATATGACATAGGAAGCTCCTCTGATAGGGAATGAGAAACTCAATCTTGTCTGAAAATTACTTTTTGAATTTTAAACTCAAGCAATTTAAATTTCTCCAAATCACTTTTTTTTTCTTTTTTTTTTTTTTTTTTTTTTTTTTTTTTTTTTTTTTTTTTTTATAGAGCCGTCCCACTCCTGATGCTGTTAGTCAATTTGCCAAGGGTTATGAAGATTACTTACAGTGCCCTCTCCAGGTGAGGCTGATGTAAAAATCTAGGACAAAACAAACCCATACTTTTATATCCTCAAATCTGCTAACATAGTCAAAATGTTTACAGAAATATTAACTCTTGCTTTTTTATGTCTAATTTTTACCCAACAGTTCAACAGGTTTTAAATTATCTTTTGCCTTTTGTAAAAATTTTAGGTTTTGTTTATAGAGGTAATTCCACTAATTCAGTATGCATAAAGTTTAAAATGATTTTTTTAAAAATGAAAAAGCTTTCTTGAAGTTTTCATTTTAGCTTTAATTGAAATTGATTTAAAATTTACTATTTCCAATAAGCAAAATACTCTATTGTTCCATTGAATTTTCGATACCTAAGGTTTAAAATGAATTTCTAAAAATGAAAAAGCATTCTTAAAGAATTTTAGCTTTAATTAAAAGCTAAATGATTAAATTTATTATTTCCAGTAAGTAAAATATTCTGGTGTATTTCAATTAGAAATTATAGATTGGAATCTCAACTTTTTGGCCAATTTCAGAAAATTTTCTTAAAGCGGCCATTTTCTTAATTTTAAGAAATTTGTAAACAAAACAAAATTATCGGTTTTAAAAATCTTCCAAAAATAAAATATATATTATTTGAGTAAAATTAGCAAATTTAAAGTTAAATTAATCTGATTTGAAATTTTACTTATAGCATAAAAAAGTAATATACAAGCATTTCTTAACAATATGTGTCCTGTTCTTTTTATTGACGTATCAATAAGTTCCAAGGTAATGACAGCTAGTATGGATAATCAGATTTGACATAAATTTACAAAATCTAAGTGAATGCATTTTTTTTTTTTTTTTTTTTTTTTTTTTTAACTCCCTCGTAATTTTTACAAATTAACATTTTTAGCAATTATTTAATATTTTATTGACTTTTAGTTATGTTTCAAGATGCTTTATGAAATTTAGGTTTCATCTCTAGGTTCTTAAGTTTACTAACTTAAACAAAAAATTACTTAATTGAAGTATGACCCAAACTAAAATAAATACATAAAATAAAAATATTTAGTGAAATAGTAATTAAAAAAAGTAAATTTTACTTTGAAATTTTGAAGGGGTGATTTGCAAAGACATTAATGATGAAACAGAACTGAATAATGAAATTGAAAGCAGTGCAGAGCACCAGACAACTCTTAAATCATGTGACCTTTTAAAGGATAATATCATTTATGGTCTACCATAGAAATTGGGAACGTTTATACACTAAAAGATTTTTTTTTAATTTTTTAAAAAAGTATTTGTGTACAAATGGGTGTTTATGAGCTCTTCAAATATCGATTTGTAAATGTAGTTTTCACTTAACATTACCAAACTGCCACCTTGAAGTAATGCAGAATTTTAAATGATTTTTTAATATTATAAATTATTTAATTAAACTTAATAAAAAAAATTCTTGTAAAAATTAATTATTTATTGAAAAAAATTCAAGATAATAGTGTCATTAAATCTTATTTATCAAAACAAATAAAAGCTTTTCTAATTAAATAATATCATAGTTTTATTGCATGTTTTATTTTACAAATCAGAGCAGATGTTTGTAAAAGGGGTGACTGTTTTACCAAAAACAATGGATAATTCACATTCTCCAGGGAGTTCTGCTTTTAACTAATAAAAAATATCCTGCCATAAAATTGAATTTCTCAAAATTTCATGAAATTAAGTGGGTGGTAACATGTAAAAAAAAAAAAAAAAAAAAATTAAAAAATAATTTCATTCATTTCTTGAATATGTCCTGAAAGTTTCATTAAAATCAGACAATTGATTTTTGTAAGAATTTCCAGTCATTGTGTTTTTCACTGGAAAAAGTGCAAAAGAAAACTAATCATTATTATTACGTCAGCCCTGATGTAAACAAAATAAGATTTTTAGCCAAAATTTTGGACATTCTAGAAAGGATTAAGAAAATACTTTGGTATTTCCTCTTAATAAAATAAACATTTTAATGACAATTTTGTTTTTATTGAGTTCAGGGTCTTTTTTCATCATGTTATGCTGTTTTTTTCCATGAAAAAGTGAAGGTACCTATTATAGTGTTTTTCAAAAAGAAATTATATTGATCAAAATCGATAAAAACGGCCATTTTTGACACATTTGTAAACAAAAGTTCTTGGTTTTAAAACTTGCAAAAATAAAATATATATTTCTGAAATAATATTGAGGAAAATTTGCAAATTTGAAGTTAAATTAAATATTCATTACTTATAACATAAAATGTTGCATACAGACATTTCTTAACTACAGGGTCTTGTTTTTCTGACGTGTTAATCAATTTATTGACAGCTGACTGAATGTATTCATAGTTAAGTATGGTGGAGCAGTCAAAGTTCACGTGTATTATTTTTTTTTTTTTTTTTTTTTATACCCTTGTAAGGGGGAACAACCTTTAAAACATGTGACCATTTAAAGATAATGTTATAAGTTTGATTATCTATACTTTGAAATTCTGAATGTATATTACAAAAACAAATCAATTCTTTTAAATATATTCAGGGTCACCAGATTGTAATAAGCTTTACAATATATGATTAGTAAATATAGTTTTACTTAATAACAATATTTTCTAAGTTATCTCCTTGAAAATGAATTTTAAAAGATTTAACTTTATAAATTATTCAATTTAAAATTGTAAAAAAAAAAAGAAAACAAATCTCATAAAAATTCATTTTTCATCATAAAAACTTTGCAAATTAAATAATGTCTTTTATTGTGTTTCTTATTTTTCAATACAGAACAGAATTTTGGTAAGACAGTCCAATTTTGAAAAAAAAAAAAAAATCAGTGATTTAAATTCTTCAAAGAATTCTGCTTTTAACTAATATAGTCACTAAAATTTATCACACTGAATTTCTCAAGTTTTCATAAAATTAAGTGGGAGAGGAGTAACATGTAAAAAAAAATTTTACCAAGGTATTCTAATAAAAAAATTTAATTCATTTGTGAATAAGTCCTGAAAGTTTCATTAAAATCTGACAATTATTTGATTTTTGCAAGAATTTCCAAATTAATGTCTGTCACCACAAAAAAGGCTAAAATTTGCTATGCTAAATAATAACTGCTGATGCAAGAGAAACAAGTTTTTAATCAAAATTTCAACTGTTCTCAAAAGGAGTAAAAATTTAATTAAATATCAAAAAAATACTCTTTATTCTTAAGAGCAATGATCAATTCCTCTTATTATTTTTTATTTTTTTTTTTTTTTCATAGCATTTTCATGGAGGTACCCATGTTTTATATAAATTATAAGTGAACCAATCTAAGGTTCTTGTTTTGAAAAAAAAAAACAGTACAGCAGGATGAAAAAAAGGCTCCAAACTTTATAAAAAAAGTTTTATCGTCAAAATGTTTATTATTAATAGGAAAGACTAAAGTATTTTTTATTACTTTATTATCCTTTCTAGCATGGTTGAAATTTTTTTAATTATTTTAATTGGTGTTTTTTTTTTAGGTGAAAAACACATTGATTTGGGAATTCTTGCAAACATTAAATGTTGAATCTAATGGAACTTTCAGGACTTATTCACAAATGAATGAAATTATTTTTTAGAGAATCTTGATTTTAAAAAAAAAAATTTTAAAAAAAAAAAAATATTATATATATATATATATATATATATATATATATATATATATATATATATATTTAAAAAATGGTTAATTTTTACTTAATTTCATGAAATTTTGACAAATGGCAATCTCAAAAATTTGTTTTATTACTTAAATGCAGGTCTCTCTGGAGAATTTAAATCTGCTCTGAATTATAAAATAAAAATGCAATAAACCTATGACATTATTTAATTTGAAAAGCTTTTAATTGCTTTTATAAATAAGATTTATTTAGGACATTATTTTATTTGAGGAATAATGAATTTTTAGGAGAATTGTCTTATTTTTTTCTTTTAAATTTTAATCATAATAATTTAAAATATTGTTTATAATTCTGAATTACTTCAAACTGGTTAGGTGATATTGTTATTAAGTGAAAATTATATTTAACAATCAAAAATTGAAAAGCTCAATAAAAGTCATTTGCACCCAATTTTTTTTTTTTTTTTATGTATATAAAATACTAGCAGTAGAGCCCAGCATTGCCAGGGGACAGTAACAGTAAGAGATAGATCAAGTATCGACCATCATAAAAACTAAAAAATAAAATTGACCAAGATTATTATTTTATTAAGGTTGACAGACACGCATGTCTTAATTTTTTTTTTTTTTTTTTTTTTTTTACAAATTGGTCAAACCCAAACAAAAACATTGTTTTCAATCGTTACTTAAGAGTCTGTTGCAGGCCCGGTAGGGTGCAGTGCTGGTTTATTACTATTGGCCTTGTGCCAGACACCATTATTAAACTACCGAGTCTACAAGCAAAGTAAAAAAATAAAAAAATCGTGAATGAACAACGAAGAAAATGTGGTTAATCTACATTGCTTTTGCATAAAATAAAATATATTAAGATAGCCGACACAGAATGACAGAACAAAGACTGGATTCAACAAGAGTAATTTTTTATTAAATGCAGGAAAAACAAGTAAATCTTTTTTTAGTCGGGATCAATGAAAAAGTTCAGCATAAAAGTAGAAAACAAGATGGCTAAAAGGCGGGAAGGTTTAAAGAAGAAAGGTTTCAGCTAAGTCAATGTACATGATAATATTCATACAAGAAAAAAAATACAGTCTAAGTAGTTTTTAGGTAATAAAGTGAATGTTATGTACATATTTCTTTTTTTTTTTTGTACTGGTTCAAACAGATTTGTGACCAGACCCAAAGTGGATGTTTAATTAATATTTTGTATGTTCTGCATCGTCTCGAAAAAGGACTTTGAATGAACGAGTCACAAAGGGCCAAAAGTTAATTCTTTTTCTTTGGTATATGCATCATCTATTAAAAGGACTTGGAATGACGAGTCACAAAGGGAAAAGGAATTAATATTTTGGATGTTTCGCATCATCTGGGAGAAGGATTCTTGAATGACCAATAAAAAAGGGACGGAGAATTAATTATTTGGTATTTGCATCGCAATTTATAAAAGGATTTTGAATAATTGAGCCAAAAGGATTTAAAATTAATTATTTGGTATATGCATTTTTCTTATAAAGGATTTTGAATATATATAAGCCAAAAATATTTTTAGAATTAATATTCGGTGTTGGCACTAAATCGTAAGATATCCTTCGTCAGTCAACCTTGCATATTGACAAAAAAAAAAGAGTCTGCTTAGGTCTGAGTCTGAATCACCTACTGATTTTTTGAAACAACAGTTTTGTCTTTTGGCGTCACAAATTTTTGATGGGAAGATTTCAAAAATCTAATTTGCATAAACAGGAGTAGCAGGTCGTTTTGACTGCTGACCAAAACAGTTACTACTGTATTAGACCAAAACGAAGGAAAAAGGGGTAAAATAAAATAAAATTTAGTTTTTTTTTGAAGGTGTGTGAAAGAAAGGGGAAAATTTTTTTTTTTTAAAATTTAGATGGAATAATACATTATTCCACAAGTCTATCGATTGAATAGAATTTTATTATAAACAATTGTTTTGTAAATGGAATTTTTAAAGCATTCTGAATGTAAAAATAAAAAAATTTTTTGTGCAAGACAATAAGAAACACTACCTGCCAAAAAAAGTGAAGTTTTGTTAAAATCGGTTGAAAAATGTAGGAAATCCGATTCCATATATAAATGAACACACACACACACACACACAACCTGGGTTTAATAAGTATAACTTGATATGAGTTGTCACCCTTTCATTCTGGCGGCAGAATCATGTTTTGAAATTGATTTTGTGCAAAAACAATTGTGTTTTTCCAATTTTGGGCACTGTCAGAACCAGCGCAAGGTAATTTTACACAGTCCTGTGAAGTTTTGTTGAAATCAGTTAAAAAATGTAGGAAATCCGATCCAATATATAAACGTACAGACACACACACACACACACAATCTGTGTTTTATAATAAGTAAGATTACATAACATGCCAATTTGAAAGTATGGTCGACTATACATGACATAATCAGAAAATACGAGTGATGACTATAGTAAATTTAAATTTAACATTGCTAAAATTAGATTATAGAGAATATTTTCCAACATTTTTAAATTATATAAAAAAGGTGCTCACCTGTCATTTTCTTATATTTTAACAAATAAGTCTCTGTAGAACAACAGTAAAGGTGTTGACAGATTTTATTGCTTGTTAAGTGATCTATGAGTGACAAGTGATGGTGATAAGTGCATAATCACTGCCACTGTTTGATTTAAACATCTATTTCACAGTTATTTTAATCTTAAAGTAAATAATATTTGTTTCAAATCAGATTAATTATACTTTAAATCAACTAATATTCCTCGTATAAAGTTTCAGAAAAGTATATTTTATTTTTGGGAGGCTTTTAAAACCGAGAATGAGCTTTTGTTTACAAATGTGTCAAAATGGTTGTTATTGATTTTTAGCGATTTTTCCAAAATCAACCAAAAAGTTGAGATTCCGATCAATATAATTTCTATTTGAAATACACCAGAGTATTTTGCTTACTGGAAACAGTAAATTTAATCATTCAGCTTACAATTAAAGCTAAAATGAAAGCTTCAAGATTGCTTTTTCATTTTAATAATTCATTTTAAACCTTGTGTATAGAAACTGAGTGGAGGTACCTATACAAAACTGTCACCAAAAAATGAATCAGTAAAAAGTTATTCGTTCTGTAAATATTTAAGCAAAACCAATGGAATTTTAGATTAATCACTTATTTTGATCAACAGATTTTTTTTATCCCCCCCCCCCTCACTGTTTGAAGTAAATATTTAGGAATGCTGAAAATTTCTCAATCTGACTCACTTTCCAAAATTGGGGACAAATACCAGATTTTGGTGAGAGGAACTTATTGATTGGGCCAAAATATTTTCTTGCACTCCCTTATTTTATACTGAATGCAATTTCAATACTGTGTTTATTTTATTGTAAACAGCCATTAATGGATAACCTAGAATCAATGACTTATGAAATCTTTGAGAAAGATCCTGTCAAGTATACACAGTATAAGGAGGTAAGTGTTTTCACAGTTTCTCTAGAGATGATGATAAAAAAAAAAAAACAATGTGAATAGTGTTTCTATCTAGAATTACACACATATACTTAATCAACATATTACCATAAGAGATTGCCTAAGGAATAAAAAAAAAAATACCTTTTATCTTTTTATAATATTGTCACACAATAATGGTGATTACTTAAGGAAAACTTAAGAAATCACCGTTATTGTTAATGTTAAGCTGTTTGAAAAGTAATGTCAGTTTTTTGAAGAAATAAAATCTTGATCAACTGTAACTCAAGTTTTATATATTTATTTGTCAAGAACATAACCATTACTAGCAATGACAAGATTCTTTGTTGATAGAATTTGGGATACTGAATGAAAAACCTTTGTTGTAATCAAAGCCAAAGCTCCACTCTCAGTGTCTTGGTGAACAGATAGTAGAATATGAGATTTTTGTCTATTTCAAGCTCTTAAAATAAAACAGAATAAATCACAGCAGATATTTACTATATTTACTAAAGTTGTCTATTATATCCAATGCCGTTTCCTCTAGATGAAAGTTTAGAGCAAAATAAATCCAAATCTATTTTTCTTTAACACGGACAAATTAAAATACTCAAATTTTGAAAGAAAGGTTTCAATTTTTTTTTTATTCTTTCAGGCTATCTATTTTGCTTTGTTGGATCGAGTAAAAGAGGAGGAAAAAGACTGTAAGACCGTGTAAGTTAAATTACACATTAATTTGTATAATCAAACCAATTATCTTTGCTATTTAAATATAGGGATCACACTTTGGATTACCATATGTTGTTACTTCAATATTATTTTCCAGTGAGTTAATGTTTTTTTATTTATGCTATTAGTTAATATATTTTGTAGACATTAAACTGTTCTGAATTTATGAAGTCTCCTAGGCAAAGCCTAGATCAACTAAAAATATGAAGGAAAAAAGTAAAGGAAGATAAAACTATTCAAAATGTAATTAACAGTTTTCACTTAGAGATTTCAGGCCAGAGTAATCCAACACATAAAGCAACATATTTCTAAATAAGACTCTTAATTTTCTCTCTTCTAATCTTAATTGTCCTATGGCTGTATAACTGACACTAAATTCATCTAGTGTTTCATTTTCCAATAAATAAGTAACTATTTAAATATTTAAAAAACAAAAGAGAAAAATTTTTTTCCTCTACTTTTTCAGTGTGATTATGGTGGTCGGCGCTGGACGTGGTCCCCTGGTTAGAGCTGCCATTACTGCTAGTAAAAAAGCAGAAAGAAATATTAAAGTGTATGCTGTTGAGAAAAATCCAAATGCTGTTGTAACGTAAGTAACTTGCTTACTCATGGGTCATATGCTTTTTCTGTATATAGCTTTAAATATTCATATTACCATGAACATCAAACAATGTAAGCAAACATTATGCAGAGTTTTGTGACTGCATAAATGTCCATTTACAAATCTGTTTTTCCTTATACTGTAATTTTTTCTTGATTTTATATGAGGATGTTGAAAAGTTTGCAGCCCATCCTACTTTTGGAAAGTAGGTCAGACCAAGAACTTTCAGTGACCTCCTCAAATGCTCCATCTGGACTTGATATTTTTAGTGCAGAAATAGTTATAGCTATGCCATCATTTTCTCACTTTTGTTAAGGTTATGATTTTTAAAAGTTACTGTGCTGGTAATGTAATGGTTATTGGTGCTGAAAGTGGAATTTGTAAGCTGGGTTCAAATTTGAACCTAGTCTGTTGTGCTTATTTTCACAGTAATGATCTTTGGAAAGCTCTGAATCAATCTAGCTATGGCTAAATAGCATGGTAGACTAGGCCGTCTAGCCTTGGGTGGCAGATAGTCTATTAATTAAAATTATATACCTTTCAGCCTGTAGAATTACTGAGACATTTCTTTATCCAGATTTCACATTTTGTCCACTCTGAGTAGAGCAATGGATTGGAGACCACTAGGTATAGAGTTCAAGGCATGACATTTGGTTTCTTGCATAAGTTCAGTTACTATCATATGATTCTTTAATCTAATTTTTTTTTTCTCTTTGTTTTTTGCCAGGTTGGAAAATTTAAAAGATGAAATGTGGGGAGAACAAGTGGAGGTGATTTGCCAAGACATGCGAGATTGGGAAGCACCAGAGAAAGCAGACATTCTTGTAAGCGAACTGCTCGGATCATTTGGTGATAATGAATTATCTCCTGAATGCCTGGATGGAGCCCAACGATTTCTTAAAGGTAATCCATTTCCAACCTTTTATCATAATTGTACAATTTCACAAAGACAAAGGAGTTTATTTTTGTACTGTTTACATTTTTTTTAAATTTGTAGATTTTTTATTTTTCATTTTTCATGAAGTGTTAAAAAAAAAAAAACTTATATGAACTTCTAGAGGAAAAAATTAAACTCTATCAGAGATATCATAATTTTACTCTTGTGGTGAATTTGTTTTGTTTTACCTTAAATTTAAAAAGTTTTAATATAAAGTTTCCTACTTTAAATCTTAAAAGCTGTCAGAGGAAGAAAATGCAATCTTTTTGTTTAACTGCTAATTTTTTTTTTTTTCTGTTGTAGATGATGGCATCAGCATCCCCAGAGAATATACATCATATTTAGCACCTTTACAATCAGCCAAACTTTATAACGAAGTTAGACTGAGCAAAGAAAAAGATAAATCACCTGAAGTAAACCTTGTTTCACTTTTACTTAATCATCCCAATATTATTTCAAACAAAGTCAAAGACAGATTGAACACTTATATTTTAGTGTTCTCCTTTCTGTTGACTATATAAACAGCAAATTTGAGGTTATTAAGTATAATTAAATTCCTGGAAGTTTATTATACCACATTTGTTTTATGTCAAGCTAAACTCAACATTAATGTGAATATGGAATCTTTGTCAAAGGTGTTTGTTTTTTACCCTTACAAGAGAAATACAAAAATTTTCAGTATAATCTATTTTTCATTAATGCATTTACATTATAAAAATGTCAATTGTTTTTAAAGAGTGAAAAGTCTATAACTTCATAAGTTTTTTTCTGCTTACATTATGAATTGGGACATTGTCAGTAGTTGTTGTTCTGCTAATAGCAACATCCGGCAAAATTAGATCAATAGTATTTACTTCAAAACTAAATTGAAAATTACTTATTGCTAGTAACTTTTTCTTGCATTTCTTCTAGTTGTGTAACTATCTAGATTTGAGTCATTATAATTAATGCAGTTATCTCACTAGATATATGTTTATTTATAGTTAAGTATTTGAAAAATAAGTCTATTAAGCATAACAAATGTAGTACTATTTTTCACTTGTGCATAATGAAAATATAAAATCATGTTGAAGATGTCCTGGTTTAAAAAAAAAAATCTGTGCATAGTGTTGAGTTTGTTAAATGTTTTATTTTTGTATTATATAACTTGCATAGCTTTCCTTTTATCTATAAAGATATACTAATGTTTATTATGGCTTTATATTTTTTCAGGCTCCTTTTGAAATGCCTTATGTTGTCAGACTTCATAATTGCCAAGTATTAGCAGAGCCTCAGAAAGTTTTTAGATTCACACATCCCAACAAAGGTGAGTGATCTTTTTAAACATTCCAATTTATTTATATCAAGACATTATTAAAATATTGACTAAATGTATTTTTCTGAACTTGTGATAATAATATTAAAAAAAAAATATAAATCTATTCAATCTTTTTTTTTTTTTTTTTTTAAACCTGCAGGTTTCTGAAATTGGTTGATTTGATAGTTTTTGTATAAATATTATTGGGACTTGAAGGAATGTGGGGAATAAAGACATAAATTTCTATTTTTATTTTCATAGTTGGAAGGTCTGTCTCGAAAAATAATGAATACAAATCTAAGTTTTGTCAGTGCTTTGTGATTAATTTCCTTCTGGTGTTTCCAGGCTTTTATGATTACAATCTTGATGCTCTTTGTTTTGGGAAAATAAACATTACAAAATTTTATTTTTAGGTGAAGTAATTGACAATTCCCGTTATGTGAGTTTAGAATTCTGCATTAAATCTGATGCTGTCCTCCATGGATTTGCTGGTTACTTTGATTCTGTACTTTATGCTGATGTCACATTAAGTAAGTTTCTTTTGCTTTTTATCACAAATTTACAAACATAAACCACACATTTTGTTAGAAAGTTAAATCATATATACTTAGTATAAACAAAAATAAATTTTTTCTTTCAGCTGCAAATACAGAAAAGGACAGTCTTTTTTGTTTTATAGTTGTTAATATAAAAATAACATGCACAAAATTATCAATAGACATATCAGTGCAAGAAAGTCATTAGTTTTCAAATTTTAAAATATTGTCATTAATTTTTTTCAAATGCCATTAATTATGTTAAATATTGCTAAATGCCAATATTGACTGATATACTTTTTTCCTTCATTAGTTTTGTAAACATTTCTCAGTATTTTGTGCTTGTCCATATGAACAAAACAATTTTGTCAACAATAGTCATATTTATAATACTTTTCATTTTTGGTAATCTAGATCAGATTATGAACAGGGTTAAATTGGGTACTTGATTCTAAAGATAGTCTTTTTCTGAAATCATATACACCTTAAAAAAAAAAAAAAAATGACCAAATGTATATTTTTTTTATTGATATTGCAAAACCTGAATGTTTTTCTTTTCTTTCCATAGGCATTTTGCCATCAACGCACTCTGCTGGCATGTTTAGTTGGTTTCCAATCCTTTTCCCCATTAAGGTAAAGGATAATGACTTTTTTTTTTTCTTTTTATATATTTTTCATAGATTTTCAGAATTATAAGACTAAATTCCTTCTCCTAACTATTTTAATGTATTCCTATTGTATGTGGAGGTCACCAGAGAAAAATCTGAACTTACTAAATTACTTGGGTTGCTTTTCCCCATCCTCTGATTTTGTAATTCCCATTTGAATGAACTGCTTTTTTCCTGAGAGTAGAAATAGTTTTAGGTCAAGTACATGTAAGGTGTGCTTTATCCCCTAACCACACTGCAGCCAAATTACTGTGTATCAATATAGCAAGTGATTTTTCTTGCAGCCACATTCAGCTGCAAGAAAAATCACACACACACACACACAAGATTATTACAATGATTTTATTCATTTTGAAATGTAACTTTTCAGTTGACATTGAAACTGAAATCTGTTTAATTTTAAAGTCATTCTGGGGCAATTTGATTTAAGACAAACCAATAACACCATGCCTTCCCTGGCATAGAATTTCAATTCTTCTTACAGGATTTGAGCTACAAACTGTTTCTTAAATTATAAATGACATAACTGTCAAGATATACATGTATTGTAATTTGGTGAAGTAAGCAAAAATGTGTTAAAAAAATCTATCGTATATGAATGAATTTATCCCTTTTGATACTCTCTAAAGATGTTCATTTGCAAAATTATATGAAAGATGTCATATATTTAAATGAAATTTATATAATGTATTATTTCTCTTCTTTCAATTTAGGAACCAGTATTTTTACATAAAGGCTGCAAAGTTGTTGTTGACTTCTGGCGAGTTGTAACAGAACGAAAGGTTTGGTATGAATGGTGTATTCGAGAGCCACAGATCCTGCCCATTCACAATCCTAAGGGACGTTCATATACCATAGGACTCTGAAGTTGTGCACACATCTGCTCACCCTCTCAATTCCCCACAGAATGAAGCTTCATTTTAAGGAAACTAAGAAAATGTCTTATTTGCTATTTTAGTCATTAAAGAAAACAACTATGTTCATTTCACTATCTGAATTTTGTGGTAGTTTTTGTGATTATAAAACTTTCAAATTTTGCTCATCTTTTGTAACAAGAATATTATCTCTATTTTCAAATGAGGCATTGTCAGCCATTAATATTAATTTTGAAAATTTTCCTTATATAAAAACATCAAAAAATTAAAAAGAAAGAAAATATTAACTAAAATTAATAATAATAATAATAATGGCTGTCATTGCTCATCTTTTATATAACACTATTTAAATGTTCAGATGTATATTTGCCCTTTCAAGTATTTTATCAAGGGCAATATTTGCTACTTAGAATTGTTCTTATAGTATTTTTTTTCTGCATGTATTATTCTATATAATTCAGATTGCAAGTAGTAAGCAGTAGACTCCTAGAGCAGAGGATTCTGGTTTCGTTCTTGAAATCAGCATATGAATTTAATTTGTAAAGAAGTTATTATTTCTCTGTTCTTGTCTTTGGGAAAAAAATTTTCCTTTTCTAAAAGGATGTCACCTTCAAAAAGTGAATAATTCGAACAAAATCATAACACTATAATAATCACATGAAGTAAATAAATTTGTTCATAGTATTTTACTTTTCACTGAGAAAGAAAAAAATAATTTCATTTTTCTGTTAATTATACTTTCTGTATAATTTTAAAATGAACTGAAATGTTAACTACATTTTGAATTTAATGGAATATTACATTACTTGCATTATTTACATTACTCGCACTGTTATTCTCATCTTCATTGCCATATAAATAATGCAAGTAATCATAATACCTCATCTCAGAGATATAGACAGGAATATTACATTGTTTGCAACTCATAAAAAGATCTTACTGACTTTTACAAGAATTTCTTTCAAAATTGTTTTACTGATTATCTTTCATATAAAGCTATAACTACACATACTTTCAATTTTTAATGACTAAAACACTTCAACTCTAGATTTTAATGATTAAAGTCATTAACCAAATTGTAGGTGACTTTTTTTCTTAAGAGACAGGTTATCTATCAAAATCTGTGGGTGAGTATAACTCGCACTTTTTGTTTACTATAAACCAACTTCTGATTGGATTCTTTAAAGATTTTTGTTAGTCTTAGAAGCTTGCAAACCTGCCACCTGACTAAATTACTATCATTTAAGATTTTTTTCCTTTTCTCTCAAAATATATTTAATTAACAAATCTTTTTACTTTTACAGTGCAATCTCAATCCAGTTAATATTTATCATCTTGTAAAATGAATGCTGAATGTTTTAAAAATCATCAGCATTTCAACACTGATTATTCTTCATACAAAATGTCAAAATCTTTAACCTGAAATCAATAAATAATAGCCATTTTATCTGTATGAGACTTACATTGATGAAACCCTCCACATTTATTTGGTTGAGGGAAGACGGCCTCTCTAGCAATGTAAAAATGGATAATTATGTCAGTCATCATTGATTACAACTAAACTGGTTGTCCACATTAATATGGTTGCAGTTTGGTTTGTAGGTTTATGGTGCATATCAAATGTGTTGGAGTTTCATTTATTTTTTTTTTTCTCAACATTTTTTTAAAGATTAATATGAAACATACAATAAATAAATTTTGCAAAGAATATTGGAGCTTTGAAATTTTAACTTCTGGATTTAACAAATTCAGATTTGGAGGGTCTATTTAAGAGAAAGTTGAAACCAGGCTGATTGTCTTGCTTTACGAGATCAATCAATGCTTTTTAATAAAGATACAGTTTAAGCATCAATTTATTTTATAATGAATTTATCTAATGTCTGTTGCCTATTTTAATTAATATTTGCAAAGTAATCATTGCATTTTACTACTTTTTTTTTTTAAATCAACATTGTTAATTTGCCAATTTATGAGTCACATGAGTTCACATTTTTTATAAATAGTAACAATAAAATCTAAAACAGTGCTATTGAAAGTTTGCAACAGACTTATTTAGCAAGTTGTACTCAATTAGTTGAATGAAACTTGAATTTTATTTCAAGTTTCTATCAGATTATCTAACATGATAATTCACTCAACTAATTAATGGCTGAATCTAGTTTGAATATAGGATGGCAACACAGAATCCTAGACATGGATCCTAGCTCACCAACTGCAGTGAAAGAATGGCATAATTGGTGTACAGATTTTACAAACTTGGGGATTATGCCCTAGTGAATTTGTGTTTATCAAAACATGCACATACTACGACACAGCACTAGCTAATTTAAACAACATTTTTATAACGCAAAAAAAAATTATTAAATTTTTGAGACATTTACTTGCTACACAAAAAGAGGAACCAAGTGAAACTCTAGATAAATTCATCAGGGGACTCAAAAAAAACTAAGACTGGATTACAATTTTAAATACTGTATATCTATAGAATGTGGGGATAAAGCTATGTGAGATACTTTTATTTGTGGAATTGCTTCTCCAACAATGTGCCAAAGACTGCTAGAGAATAAGACATTGGATTTGCAGCCAGCTTACAGTCAAGCTTTTGCTTTGGATTTGGTACAGAACAATATAGAAGCTTATGTTACCCATATTCCTTCTCCAGCAGTTGAAGTCTGTGAAAGTAACCCTTCTGACAAAGGCGATTAAAAGTAATACCATAAACCCACCTGATCAATGGTAGCTACAAATTACAAGCACTATCAGGTTTTCTACCCGCATTGCAATTAGTCCAGCCACCACTTCCATTCTCTTCTATCACAAGAATTGAAGGAACATTTCCTGAGTAAGGGTGTTGCTACCAGTAATTCGATGACATATCACCCCAAACTTAATGGGCAGGCAGAACAATATAGAAAACTATTTATTCGAATCTTGTGTCTCAGAAAAACATTGGGAACAAGTTTTGCTACAGGCCCATTCTAATTGATCACTGTTGTGTATTGCTATTAACTGTACACACCCCATGAGCATTTCTTCAAGCTTCAAAGGTGTACTTCTCATAGGCAGTTGTCCCATATTAGTTAAAAAAACCTGGACCCATACTATTAAGATGATTTGTCTGTATAAGCAAGCGCAACCCCTTTGTAAATAAAATGGAAATGATTGATAGCCTTTGCCAACATCAAGTAGCTTGCTGGAAGATAAATCATGTCTGTTTGACATTTGGCTTCCTGTCCTGATCATTCATTCAGAGCCACTTTGACAAGCTTCACAAACCTCTACTGAAGAAAGTTGTAGTTGATGCCACTTTAAAGTGAAAGTCTTCAAACAAAATCCATATCCAGAACTGTTGCCACATAATATAGCCCAACCTCAAAGGTTGAATTATATATAGGTGGGATTAAAATAAGTTGTATTCTTTAGTAATTATAAATATGTTAATTGGAGGAGTCCTCATTTTTCTAGGAGAGAAATAAGTTATGAGTTCAAATCTCTATCTATAAAAGGCAGGGTGTGTGTGTAACAAATGCATGGCCGCAATTTTTGACAGATTTGCACCAAAATTTACATGCACATGCTCCAAGTTAGCGGGAAGGCCAAGACTGACTTTGCATTTCCCAATTCCCATTGATAGTGGAAATAATTGATTTTTTTCATGCTTCTACGAGAGTTTTCATGTAGTTTGCGGCCATTTTCTACTGGCCAGAGTGAGAGCCTATAGCTGGCTGCCACAAATAGGCAGGAAGATTCTATTGGCCAGTGTGAGAGCCAACAGATGACTGACATGAATGTTAACTAGCATGCAAAAAAAAAAAAAAAAAAAAAAAAATCGATAGCTGCATTCGTCACAAGTGGGAAAAATTTTAATCTGCATGGCACTTTACTCCAATTGGCTCATTCGCTTGCTTAAACTTAACATTGATTCTGATTCTGCAGAACTGGGTTGGGTGTGAAAAAGTATTTAACATTCTTTTTTTCATTTGGTTTTTCCAGTTACGAATCCTTTTTTAAAGCTGATCGTTTTGTGTTCATTTTGTTTAGTTCTTTTTTCGAAACAGATTTAATGTTTATTATAGAGAAAGGGTTGGCAACCTGCAGGCCGGATCCGGTCCGCGAAGGCATTTTGATTGGCCCCCGAGCCTGATTACCAATGACTATTTTTAACATGAGAGACGAGGCTTTTGAATTCGACAAAAGACCTCCTGTTATCTTCCTTTGATCCACCCAATTGAATTTGAATACTATGACCACAAAAACATGATCAAAACCCGATCACCTCCATTTTAGCATAAAAAAATAAACATAAAACAAAAACAGAGCTGATTTGACCGACCAACCAGCGACAGCTTCAAAGGGACAATGTTGTCTCAGTCAGCTTTCTATTTCATTCCTTCAACAGCAATGCTATGTATTTATAAACAAATGATTCCAACAATGTTTTCAATTGAATAAATAATATTTTTTGACTACTACACTACTACTAATCAACAAAGGGGGGGGGAGGCAAATACCATGTCCGACACAGATTTTTTTTCAAATTTGCTACACTTATAGATCTCCATGAAAGGAATTGAATGGCACCTGTTGCACATCTCACGGTCAAGGGGTTCCCGAGATATGACCTGACCTTTTTATGAAAATGTGAATAGTGACCAACTTTAAAAGATGATATCTCAGTTGTTTATGGACTTACAAAGTTCATTCATATATTGTTTTAAAGTACTTGGATAGATCTACAATTTTATCTGGGGATTTTTTTTTATTTTTAGAGGTCAAATAAAAAAGTTGACCTTGACATTTGACCTGACTTATCTCAAAAAACATTTTAATTTTTTTAAAATTTTGACAAAAGATTTGTCTATCTTATGACAGTATATATTCCAAATTTCATGATGGGCATTCCACTAGAACTGTTGCTACAAGCGTTTTATAGAACTGGGCAAAATTCAAAATGGCGGAATGTAGTATCTGCTATTTTAATGCTGATTAAT